TTTAGCACACGGAAGCTGCTCGAGGACTTTCTCTCCCTCGCTGTTAGTAACCTCTGATACGCACGGATCTCCTACAAGTAACGCATCACTGCTTTTGTGATAATCATCTGGGCAATCGGCAATGAGTCTCAGACTTGCTAACGATGGAGCGACTCGGATTGTGAACGATTCACACAGGTATTTAGAATTACCATCCTTCAATGCAGCAAAAGGAGCGATCCACAGGGGTCCATCAGGAATAATGAGTAGCTCATCCCCTTCAATCAAGTCAGCCACCGGCTTCATAAAGATTTCATACAAAGTGCTCAAGCATCCGTCTTGTTGGATGTGAGGTTGAGGGTTGGCTTCTTTGGTTTTCTCATCCACTTTTGAACGGCCCTCCCTCAAAGCATCTAAAGATCGATTCTCGCATCTCACATTAGAACGAACACCAAGTTGTGTATAGACACCGAGCATGAACGACTCAAAGGACTGGCTAACTCCACTATTCTCTGAAACAAAACCTTTGAGTTTACTTTGTCTTAACCGAATTTGTTTTCCTTCGGAAACAACCCAAAGATTGACGTTAGCTTTGTCCACTGCCTGAAAGACAGTGTTTGATGGAACGTTTTTTAAAACTGTGAAATCTTCATCTTCTCCCCTGTGGTGACTTGTTCCACCACAAAAACTGGATTCCATGAGGTCGGTCAGAGCTTGAGCTCGTCCTTTCTCGGCAACAAATAAGGCTTCATCTACATTACCTTGTTCTACGAGAACTCTCCACAAACCCGTATACGCCATTTGATGCTGATTTCGAAAATTAACTTTCCACTCATCTTTAGATTTTAGAAGTTCTCTCAAGGAATTGAATAAGTTTATGCTAGCTTGGTAATGTTCAACGGCTTTTGGCAGTTCACCCTGCGACTCAAAAAGGTGTCCTAATGAACGGTGGGCCATTGCCTCCGAGGATTTGTCTCCTACTTCTTTAGCTATTTTAAGCACCAGGTTGTACGACTTCTTAGCCTTTATCAATTCTCCCACAGTTTGATAGACAATGCCAATATTTCCATGAGCTTTACCCTCCCCATGTTTGTCTCCTACTTCTTTAGCTATTTTAAGATGTAGGTTATAGTAATCTATGGCTTTTTTTAAATCTCCCAGACTGTCATAAGCATTGCCAAGATTGCCATAAGCAACACCCTCCCCATGCTTGTCTCCTACTTCTTTAGCTATTTCAAGATGTAGGTTATAGTACTCTATGGCTTTTTCTAAATTTCCCAGACTGAAATAAGCATTGCCAAGATTGCCATAAGCAGAACCCTCCCCATGCTTATCTTCTACTTCTTTAGCTATTTCAAGATGTAGATTGTAGTATTTTTTGCCTTTTTTGAAATCACCCAGACTGAGAAATGCATGGCCAAGGCTGCCATAAGCTATACCCTCCCCATGCTTGTCTCCTACTTCTTTAGCTATTTTAAGATTTAGGTTGT